ATGTCATTAACTTGTAAACATCTTTAGTAAAAGAAATGATATAAATAAAAAAGGCGTTTCTTGTCTTTTTTCCTTTATCCTCTTTTCAAATCGAACCATTCTGTGGTTTTGTGGGTCACAGTTAGAGAAAAGAGAGAATCAGAGTCAAATATGTTCCACACAATTACCCCGAAATGAGAAGCTGTGAACAGAGGACATTTGATTCCTCTGTGTGTGTGTGTGTGTGTGTGTGTGTGTGTGTGTGTGTGTGTAAAAACACGTTACCCAAACAGCATATTGTTATTGTCAGTCTGTGGAAGAACTGTGTCGTATAAAAATGTATGTTTTTTTTTCTTTTTCTAACATCTATGGACGTGTTAGTCTGAGTGTGTGTTCCTGGTACCGGTATACCGTACTTGTGGAGACATTATTTTGGGCCAAGTACCATTGTTGTGGGGACACTTGTCCTCACAGGGACATTTCGTACATCCCCCACTGAGTGAGATTCAGATTACAGATTTAATTTGAAGTTTGGATGAAGTAAGAGAGATGATAAAGGGTGTGTACAACTTTTGAGTTTAGGATAGCTTAAAAGGCTGCAGCGCCCCCTTTTTGTAGACAGCAGTACTAACGAGAATTGATTGAAAAGGCTGTTATTACTGTGAAAATATATGAAAAATGGAAATAAAATTATTGATATATTTTTTTTGGTTTTGACTGTGAAACTGCAATAGCTCTGGGAACTATTGACCTCGGGAAGGCATTATGTCAGTCTGAAGTGCTTGAAAAAGACAAGACTGTGTGTTAGTGTGTAATGTTTTTTTTTTCTGTAATGGTGGTCTTGCTCCAGTTCTTTTGATTCAAAATTGCCCTCATATCTGAAAGGAATAGAACCACACTTAGGCACACGCTCATGTGTCGATGACTTCAGAGAGAATTCTTCTAACATGGACTCGTTTCGTGGAAACATCGCCTCTCAGTTTTAGCTACAGAGACTCTCAGGTTTACCTGGAAACCCCCTTGCCTTCCTCGCACCCTTCCCCACTCCCAGTGGGGGAGGGAACAGGGAAAAGATTTTATTTAACGAAAAACAAAAGTCACCCCCAGATCTGACTCTCTCTCTCTCTCTCTCTCTCTCTCTCTCTCTCTCTGTCTCTTTGTCTTTATCTTTAGCCTTTGAAGGCAGCAGGAAGCCCATTGTTGATGAGACACTTAATAATTCCCCTGGACAGGCGTGAAATCTCCCCCCACCCACTACACCCCCCCCCATTAGCTGTTTCTTTTTCACGTCTCTTCTTCTCTCTGGTTTTCTTCACTCCGTTCATATTTCTCTTGTTTCCTCGTGTTGTCTCCCCCGTCTCCTGCCTCCTGCCTGTCCTCGTGTCTCCTTTATAAAATTTGATTTCCTCGTAATTGATTTTGATGTTTACCATTAAACAAACGTCATTACTGACATGACGAATGTGCCCTTTTTTTTAAACACATTTTCTTACACTAATGCAATTGAAGATTCAACAATGGTCGTCCACCATTAACAATAATTAAATATCGACAGTGTCATCGTGCCGAAGGCAGGACGCCGCGGAGAATGTTATTGAACGCAAAAAAAAAATTAGCCCATTATCGGAAAAAAAAGTTATTTTTTGTTGCACTTTCTGAAATCCCCCCCCCACACCCCCCACTCTCTCTTTTTCCAGTCATCCTGTGTTTTAGCCTCTAGTAAAGATAGCACAAATGTAAACATGATGTTATCTGTGGCATTTCCAAGAGATTTCTGCCTCGGGGTCCAGAGCGTACATACAGTACAGATGACACACACACACACACACACCTCATCTTCATACATTATCTTCTCCCCACTCTTTAAGTTCCTTATCCCTCCATCTGCTCACCTTCTTTTTTACCCCCTCCCCCGCACTCCTTCTTTCATCTTCTCCATGCTTTTAATCCTGTTTGTGCCGTCTCTTCACCTCCTGCTGCTCCTCTACCTCACCTAATTGTCACCTGTTTACTTTTTCATTTTTTTTTCAGTCACATTTTTGACATGGCATGAATCAGATTCCTGATTCTGGAGAATGAGCTCTCGTTAGATAAAGGTCACAGTGCTGACCGGTGTGGCGCCTGGCAACGTTTTGGACGATTTAACTCCCCACACGGTCAGTGTGAGTCTGTGGATTTCAGAATGTGAAACATATTTATATATATTCTTTAGAGCATTGTTTCCCAAAGACTGGGTTGCGACCCTGAGGTTGGTCGCATGATTTATTTTTTGGGGGTTGTCATCATGTTTCCCTGGAGTTCACGAATAGTGTCTATTGACTTTCGTTGCGAAGGTTCGTGACTTTTAAAATATGTTTCCCCAGAAAAAAAGTTTGGGAAACACTGATGTAGGGATGAATGAATTAACGAGTGGCGGGGAAGGGGGGCATCCTCAACTAATACGTGATGTACGTCGATTTTCATAAGTCAGAACTCACATACTGTAATTACCCTACGCTAACACAATGGTAACATAATAATATATGACATACAGTATGTGGTAAACTCAAGGCCCGTGGGCCAAATGTGGCCCGCCAAGTCATTTTGTGTGGTCCATGGGAGCTTAAAATGTGTTTGATTGCCTTTATAATAAAATCCATGTTTTTGTTACGTCGTGGAGTAGTTACAACTCTACAGTCTTACAGTTACAACCAACCCTTCAAGGGGAACTGTATTCCTGAAGTGCCCCGCCTCTGGTGAAAATGATTTTGACACCCCGATCTAGGACATAAAAACATTAGAAGAGTGTGACATAAGCCTGGGAGACATAATGAAGGGCAAAAAGTTCCTTTTTGCCTTTGTTCTCCCTCCTCGTCTTTCCCTCCACCATTATCTCCGTGCTTCAGTAGTCATCGCGCTTTACGCCACTGTCCTCACACGTCTACGGCAATTTACAATTTCTAATTTATTATTTGAGAAAACCTATATATGTGTGTCCATAAAAGTTCTGACTTTTACTATGAGTTTTATAGGCGCTGATACAAAGTCTCGAAATGAATTTGACGCTCCGACCTGTATTACAGTATCCTATCATCGATTTTTATTTTTATTAGGTTTTGTCATCGCCTTGTCTTAATGAGTCTCTGAGCAGGTTTGTTGTTTGAAAAATTATTAATCTATTTTTTTTTTTTTTTTTTTTTTTTTTTTTTAAATTGACGAACCTTTACGGCCTGGAATGTACAAGGAGAAGTCAGAGGTCTCCAGTGTAAAAATATATTTTTTTAAAGTTAGGAAAATAACAGAGCTTTTTTTCCCTCCATTTAATGTCCAAACAGTTCTGCAGGATGTAGGATCATGATACAAGGTCGAAATGCGGCGCCACCATGTCAAACGGTCTTACATTTCTATCCAATGTTCGGTCTGTTTTCTGACTTCACACTGGAGAATACATGAATCCACTGCTTCTCATTATGATGACGATACTTTTTCATTTTATTTCACATCCTCACACAGGGCCTTATCTCTGTTCACGTCTTTGTTGTTCAACTCTAAACTGAACCGCGCTGCTGTGACTTTGAAACGGAACTGAAAATCCCGTTTGTTTCAAATGTTCTTTCAGATTTAAGATCAGAAAAAAAGTTCGATCAAAGCCTGGAGTGAAGCTTCACTCAACTTTAACAGGGTTCTGTTAAAGTTTAGTCAAAATATGAAGTTTTAAGATGTTTATTGATTTCCAAAACCGTTTCATTTTTTTTTGAAAAAATAGCTAAAAAAATAAAATTTGATGATTTTTTTTGTAGTCTTTAGACACCTAAAATGTGACATGTTTAAAATTTAAAACATCTGTCTTAGAACTTTTTGACCCACCTTTGTATCAAATTCAGTTTAGTCACACAGACAGACTGTGTTGAAGCTCAATGCCAAATAATCAAATAATCACTGGCATGTACAGTAGTACTGAGGTACATGAGCGGGGGAGAGGAAGTACACAGGAGAACTGCGTGTGTTGGTTTGTTTGTGCTATTTTCGTTGGAAGGATCTAATCACGCTGATTATGATAATTGTGAAGTTTATAATCACCTCTCCCTTCCTTTAAAAATACACCGTCTGTAATTTTTCCTGTCTCCCAATTAGTATTTGTCATCTGTCACTGCTGCCCTTTTATGATACACTTACGCTTAAAAACAAGAAAAATATACAAAAATTGTCACGTGTATTTATTATGGATGTCCGATAATATCAGATATTATCGGTTGGATATTAGCTAAATTGTGCAATCAAATTGGTAAGAATCATTATGGTTTCTTCCTCCGATAAAGAAAACCCGATGCCCGACACGCAAAAGGTTTTTACCATAAAATAATAATAAAAAAAAAGTCAATTTATTTTTCAAAATGCTCTTATTTTATGAGAAACATAAAGAAAAGACATTTTCATAAAAAGTCTTTCACCATCTGACCACATGACACGCAGAATTTGGATTTTACCAAATATTCCAAAATTTTCTTTTTTAATTTTTTTTTTCAAAATGCTCTTATTTGATGAGAAACGTACAAAAAACTTAAAATTTTCCAAAAATGTACATCTAAATTTTTCACCATCTGACGACATGACACGAAATTAAGATTTTACAGACATTTTTTTTTTAATTCTTTTTTTTCACAATGATGAGAATTGATGAGAAATGTGCAGAAGTTTTGAAACGCCAAATTAAGATTTTACCAAAAAACTTATTTTTTTCGCAATGCCAAATATTTTTGCCAATATGTTGGATTCGCTTATTGGAATGGAGGGGAAGTTTACCTCAGTTTTGGGGGGAAACAACTTCATATATCTGTATCGTTTTTTATCGAAATAGGGAATTAGGTATTTGGACAATATCGTCATATTGGATATCGGTAAAAGGTTACATCCCTTGTATCTATAATATGTTTTTTCTTCAGCCAAGTAACCACCAGAAAATATTGGTATTTTTAAATATTTGCATCAAAATAAAGTCGTACTTTTGGGTACTAACATTGATGTCTCACTTGTCTCTGCAGGACACAGATGTGGTGAACACAGCCATCCTGACAGGGCGGGGTATAGTAATGCCTGTCAAACTGGTGACCGTAGAAATGGACGGACAAGTGAAGGAAGTGGACAACTCGGTGACCTGCACGTCCACTCAAGTGGAGATTCTCAAGGTACGTGTTTGTGGGAACAGGAGTGGGAGTTTGAGAGAAAAGGGGGAGTACGGGGGTGTGGGGGATGGGGGGGCACAAAGAACACAAATCTGAAGAACGCTTGAAGACATGATATTCACAACTCCATGAGTGAAGTTGAACATAGTGGCAACCCAACATATAAAAAACACTTATCGTACAGTTGTACCTTTTGTATATGTTTATATGTTTATGAAATACGTTATAATACATTATAATAATAAAACAACAATATAACAGATGTTGTTTACAAAGGAAACAAAAACACATCTTCAAGACAAAGTGCGACTTCAACCACATGTTATAGATCATGTATGACACAACATACAGGTCACATGTGATTTGGTTATTATTAAAGTGAAATATTGTTTGCAACTGTAAACTCAGAGGATCTGAGGTATTGGATATAGATAGATAGACATAGATATATAGATATATAGATAGACATATAGATATATAGATATATAGATAGATATATAGATATATATATAGATATATATATATATGTTTAAAATATTATATTTTTTATTAAATATTATTTATATGTTTATATACACACATATATACACACATGTGAATATATACAAGCACAAATATATTCCTATACATACATATTTGCACACATATACTTATATATATTTATATGTAATACACATACATGAATACATGAACCATCTGACAGCCCTTATTCAGAGCGCGCCCTCTCAGACCAGTTGTCTCCGTGACACCAACAGGTGACATTTGTTTTTTTGAGAGAATCATGTGTCGGAGCTCAACCTGTGGCTGTAACCGAGTTCGAGTGTTGAGTTCATTCACAGTATTTTGAAATACCTTCAAAACACACGTTTACCTAAACAACCCTGATGTAAGAGATGGCAGATTGATTCCCCCGTGTTATATTCCCCGGTGCCCCTGGGGGCCTAAAATAAAACGCACCCTTACTGTGACACTTTCAATATGAAGCCAATGTCCTGCTACAAGCCAACCAGGAGTGGTGCTGTTTAAGTTTAATCAATAACAACAGAGTGAAATGGAAGGAACTAATTCAAAAAGGTGTAATGCAATCATGCTGTTTGTGTGTGTGTGTGTGTGTGTGTGTGTGTGCATGAAAGGAAATTGAATGTGAGGTTGTACGAAGGGGAGAGTTTTTCTTGTTGTTTTGTTTTACATTTCTGTGAGCTGCGAAGATTAGCTAAGGTTTTTGAAACCACAGTCCTTTTGTGCTTCATGTTTCACCTCACTGCCCTGGTCAAAGGGCGGCGTCATCATCTGGACCGCATGGGTCAAACTCAAGGCCCAGGGGCCTGTATGCCGCCCGCCAAGCTATCTTGTGTGGCCCGCGGGACCTTAAAAAAACATCACGTAAAGTCCATGCAGCAGGGTTTCTTAACCTAAGAAATTCCATCCTTCCTTTTTCATCCGCTTATCTGTTACCGGGTTGCGGGGGCAGCAGTCTCCATGACCCCCCCCCAAATCACATTGCACCGTACCTAAACCTTCCTGCGGGTGGTGAGTCCACTGGAAGGTACCAACCGCCCTAACCGGGATTCGATCTTGCCCAGGAGGTGAACCCTGGGGTTCCACCCCAATGACAGAGACTCTGCCTCTGGGCCAAAGCGCCACAACCTAAGAAATTAAAAAATAAATAAATATTTACACAGCAATGAAGATAATTTGTAGCTTGAATAAATAATAATCAATTGCAGAAACATCAGTCTGAATGACATTATTTTAAATTATTGTCAGATTATCTCTAAGTGAAGAAAGTACATGGATATGACTGCATTTTCTTTGAATGAAGTAAATTGGTAAAAATTAAGTAAATTATTTTTCACTCTGGCCCGGTACCAAATGACCTATGGACCGGTGCTGGTCCACGGACCGGGGGTTGGGGACCCCTGATCTATACAGTCTTCCATTTACAACCAGCCCTTCAAGGGGAAGTGGCCTTTTGCGTTGATTCCGTCTCCTGAAATGACATCAAAGCAAAGTTGAGCCTTTGTTTACATCACAAACTTAAAGGTAAATATAAACTCGTTGTCCAAGTCCAGACGTGGAGACAAAAATGCCCGTCACCTCTGTTCGTCTTCATCAGGAGTTTGTCTCGTCTGCTCTAGTCCAACACAATCTTCTTTTATTAACTTAAAATTAAAAAAAATGAAAGTTTCGAGAGTTTATTTCATCACTGTGACTGCGTATATTAAACATTAAACATAATCAGCGTAGAAGAATATGAACGCACAGAGAGAAGTCTACCGAGGATCAGTGTATGTGAAGAAGGAGCCGAGAAATTATTTTCTAAATGACGAATTACCTTTATCGCAACAAAATTACTAGCAACTGATGTTGCCTTCATATTAGCGCAGGGAATTATATACAAAAGAGTGTTGTTAGCGTATTGTCGTTGAATTCTTTTTAGGGAATTCACAGAGAAAAACATTTGTAAAATAATAATAATAATAATAATAATAATACATTCCTGTCTTTTGCAACCGACACATGCTGCCGTAGGGGGCGCCATTTACATTTGAGGTTCCATTCCTTTGGAAATATTCCACCAGTCGCTGGTGATAAACCTCAGGACAACACTCTACTGCTACTAAGTGCTACTGGCCAAACCGCTGAGCCACAGGCTCCACTCAAACACCAGCGTCTCTGTGGGTTACTGCTGGGCTGACGTAAAAATAAAAAAATCCATGTCCGAGGTGAAGTGACTGGGCAGCAGAACATGTTGAGTTATGGGCCACAAAGACATTCATAAACCTAACATGTTCAATATTTAAACCCACCATGAAAACAACAACACAAACACCACCTTTGTGTTGTACTCTGGTCAAACTCCATTGGATGTGGCGACGCTGTTCAAGGTTCTTTGTGGTTTTGTTTGGAGCCCAGTGAGACACAGCCGGACCAGTTCAGATGACGTCATCAAGATGAGGGTTTTATGAGTCGAGTGTTGCATTAGCTGCTTTGAAGACTCAGAAATGGGTTATATTTGGATTGATGCTAACCTTTCTGTGAGGGTTGGCTCAGTCCGGGGGTTTGAACAGCGGACCCCGACCATTTTTGTACTAAGGACCGGTCGCCTGGTATTCAGCCGTTACTGTGGATCGGTAACATAGCGCTAGTGTTGAAGGATCATCTTTTAGACTTTCTTAGTTCCATGTACATGAATGTTTCTTATTTAACAGTTAAAGTTCATTAGCTAAGTCTGTTAGCAGTGATTTGAAGTTTAAAAACCACACATCCAATCAGAAGACAGAACTTATGCTTCCACGGCAGAGTAGCTCACGAGGCCTGGGTTCAAATCCCAACTTCGGATTAAAGGTCAAGGTTATCCGAGGAGCAGCAGCGGTCTGGGGTTTAAGGGAAGCAGACCCGTGTCCGGAAGGTTGCAGGTTTGAATCCACACTAGCCAACAGGTACCACTGAGCATGGCGCTGTGCAAGAACCGTGTTCTTGTCTTTGTCACCTCTCATTGGACAAACACTGACCTGCTGTCACGTGTTACATATATGCACACACACACACACACACACACACACACGCTGGGATCATCTTGCTGACGTACTCAGGAGGTTCGAGCGGTAATTGCTTTGTGTGACGACTCCTTAAGTGATGTTGTTTGTAATTGAATTTGACAAGGAGGAAAAGACAAAAAAGGCCGGGGAGCGATGGAGGAGGACGACGTGCGTTTGAGCGTTAATGCGTGCCTGAGGGCAGCGGTGTGATCCCGCACACGTGTGTGTGTCTGTGTATGTAACAGGACAAATACAAAGTAGATTAAGAATTGATCTGTGTGTGTGTGTGAGTGTGTGTGATCACTTATGTATCCACAGACGTACACACATGCACCAGCACACACACCAACATGTTCTTGGAAACACTCTTGTTCCCTAGTGCTGTGGGATGTATACTGTGGGCTGTGGGTTGTGGGTTGTGGGCTGCATGTTTTCTCCGTGGGTAATGGAGAAATTCTGGACATGACGTTAGATGTGAACCTTATTTCTTAATAACCGATCACCGGCCTTTTTGGTCTACACCAGTGATCGCCCGTGACTAAATTCCAAACTATCCATCCATCCATTTTCATCCATTTATCCATTACCGGTTCTCGGGGGCAGCAGTCTCCACCCAAATCACACTGCACCGTACCAACCCCCCCTAAACCTTCCTGTGGTTGGTGAGTCCACTGGAAGGTACCAACTGCCCTAACCGGGATTCGAACTTGCCCAGGAGGTGAACCCTGGGGTTCCACACCAATGACAGAGACATTGCCTCTGGGCCAAAGCGCCACTAAATTCCAAAATAAATAATAAATAATAACATTTGATTTTTATTTCATTTTAATTGAGTGTTGGTTGACATTTTGTCTTAATTAGTCCTGGAATTTTCATCTAAAACAAACAACATTTTTCTTTGTATTCTTTTAAATTTTAATTCTAGTTTTTTATTTTCATTTTAATTGTGCTGAGACTCGCTGAACACAGGTCAGATTACTTTTTATTTCACACGTTCTATAGCAGTGTTTCTCAACCTTTGGGGTTGGGACCCCACGTTGGGTCACCTACAATCCAAAAGGGGTCGAACAAAATAGGTTGATAGGAATAAAAAATGATCGATTAACCCCAAAAGAAAAATAATAACAAAAAAAAAAAAAAAACGCTCAGAAGAAAGGCCGATGGTTCGAGTCCCTAAAATTTTAGGACAAAAAAAGTTTCTGTTCCGAAACTTTTGCTACAGAACAGTTTTAAAAAAGTTTAATTATTCATTCATTCAGCAATCCTGCCTACCACAGCTTTAAAGCCCTGGGACCCTAATGCAACTAACACTGATGTATCTCACATAGAGCAATTAAACTCCATCTCCACATGTTGTCCTTATGCCTTCTTTCTTTATCCATCTCCGTAGCTGTGGGCCCGCGGTGCCAAAATTGGCTATAAAATTGCGCGAGTGCGTATTATATATGGGTCCAGACACAC